GGGGGGGAGGGGGCATCTTTAAATGAGTTTCCTTTGATTGTTTGTAAACTGCTGATGCAGTCCAGCCAAAGTCCCCCGAAAAGTGTTGTCATGCACATTAATATCCACATGTTAATTTGTGCAATATAAATATTAAATTATTATTATTTAAAATTTGTTTTTACACTTTTTAGAGTAAGAGCGTCATTTCCCTTCTCATAAATACTTTTTTAATGTAATTTACTTTTATAAGGATAATTTCGATGCATGTTTTCTGAAATTCTTTCAATACGAACTAGTAGTTGCTTTCGCGATTTTTATATGTAGGTCATTTTTGTTATCAAAGTTGTTTTGGGTCTGATACGAGTCTGCATGATCCTAGAGAACCGAATCATCATGATTATTACTGTTGTTGTCATCATCATTACTAACCGAAGCGTGTATCCAATAGCTTTTCTTAGATTTTTATCGGACATTTTAAGCCTTTTAACATGATTTTTGTAAATTTTTAGTGATTATTATTATTATTATTATTATCATTATTATTATTATTATTATTCTGTTAAGATCACTGGCCCTCTTGTGCGGCAATATATCAAGCAAGCCCAAGAGCCACCGGATGAGACGGAAATTAAGACCCTGCAAGCGAATACACGAAGAGAAAAAGATGAATTGTTAAAGAGGCAGTGTGAGCAAGTGAGGGAATCCTTGTCTAGCAAAACTGAACGAGTGGTAGAGCTTGCTGCGGAGAAAAGAGCCTCGAATTGGTTGACAGTGATCCCGATAAAGGAGACGAATTTTAATTTGAACAAAAGAGAATTCAGAGATGCAATTAAACTAAGGTATGACTGGGAGATCGCTGACCTAACTGCCATGTGCACATGTGGGGACTTTTTTACCATTGATCATGCTATGGTCTGCCGGCATGGGGGTCTGATCATTCAAAGGCACAATGAGATTAGGGATCTAGAAGCGGAAATGTTGCGCATGGTTTGCACTGACGTAGAGACAGAGCCAGTTCTTCAGGAAATCACTGGGGAAGAGCTAAACAGAGGCGCAAACAGAGCGCCTGATGCCCGACTAGATATCCACGCTCCCGGGTTTTGGGACAGACAATAATCTGCGTTCTTCAATGTTCGGGTGTGTCACCCAAACACAGATTCGTATTGAGAACTGTCGCCGAAACAGATATTCCAACTACATGAAAATGAGAAGAAGAGGTAATACAGCAGGCGGGTTTTGGAAGTGGAGCAAGCGACATTCACACCATTAGTTTTTACAAGTACAAGTGGAATGGCCGATGAATGCAAGAGATTCCATAGCCGCCTCACAGAGTTACTTGCGTTAAAGAAAGGAGATGACTACGCTACAACCATATCTTGGATAAGGGTGAAGATATCCTTTGCCATTCTACATTCAACTTTGCTGTGTCTCAGAGGAACCAGAGGAAAGAAAAGAGTAGCCAATATATCTGACACTGACATTACATCGCAAAGTGTGCATGCCAGAATTTAAGTAGTCAATTTTTTATTACGTAGCTTAGTTTACTGAATTTTTCTTTTTTTTTCAGAGAACTGCTTTTTGTGAAATATTTTTAAGGAAAAATTTATTATTATTATTAAGGATATCGATCATGTATCGTCAATTTATTTGCTGTTCTGCTGAATGAAGCTGAAGCAAAATAATGCAGAGATAAGATGAATTCTGCTACTCTGTAGAACAGTTGTTAATACTGAAGAGATTCAAGACTTTTCTCTCAGCTAGAGACTTTTTAAACTTGTTTTAATATTTATACCTTAATCAATGTCTTAATTCTGTTTGTTATCCTGTATTTTTACTGATTTTGTGAAATAAAAGACTATTATTTTTAAAAATATATTATTATCAATATTATTATTATTATTAT